GAGAGGGTAGGAGGAGGACAACGATTAGGAAGTGTGTGTGTTTAAAGCTATCTCTCTTCACCCGTTCCAGTAACAAGGCAAGATCACAACAGGAGTGAGTTCGGGTATAAGCTGCAAGACACAAGTAACAAGTCCTCCTAGTCCTCCTCTCTTTCCGCTGAGGTTGTCAGGCTAAGCCAGAGATTCAGTGGACAGTCCTGACCAGGTCTGAGAGGATACTTGTGAGCCATCACAAAAATTAGGGCACGGTGGGGGGGATCCCCCGAATAATTATTTGAAGAAAAGCCCACACTTTCTCAGAAGCCAAAGACACACAAAATTCCATTCTACATAAGAAACACCAATTTTATGTTTCCTCTAGACTCTAAAGGATGCACAGAACAAAGTGAGTTTGTATGGTTTTTAAAGTAATCTCTAATCTTAAGAAACTTAAAATGAAAGAATAAAGGTGGACAGACAATAAAAAGGTATTCTTCAACTTTTCTTCATTGTACAGGGAAATCCCCCTGAAGTAAGAATAAGAAAATTCAGTAAGTTGGAAAATATTTCTAACTTTATTTTCTCTTAAAGCACATGTAATATCAATGTAGGTTTCATACAATTAAAAAACCCAATGGATGTACTGGAAACAGAAAAGTATTTCCTCCACACTATAAGTTGTAGTTATTTGGAAATGTGTCACATTTTGTTTAAACTGAATCGTCCCCTCTTTTAACATCATGTGTTAACATGTTTAGAAAGACAGACCTTAGTAGTTTGTTTTCTTTGAAATACTTTCCAGTCACTAATAATTTATATGGATCCTTTTTTTTCTTTTTTTTATAGCACAGAAAACAAGATAGTTAACTGACGGTAGGGACAATACTTTATTTTCTTAGTTTGATTTTTGGAAAATCAACTGAAAATAGTTTTGGCCGTCTTTTAAAAAAAATAAAAAAAACAACAACAAAAAACTATAAAGGTTTTTAAGAAGCAACATTAGTTTTTATGTAATTTTTAATCACCTTTATGAACTCTTGTCAGTTTGGACTATAAATGAATGATGTAATGGTTTTGGCCCTTACTTTATTGAGATCCTTTAAAAGCCATGAACATTTTTCTAATTGTGATCTTATTTGACATCAAAAGATTACTAGCGCCCAGCCAGTGTGACTCAGTGGTTGAGCATAGACCTATGAACTAGGAAGTCAGTTTGATTCCTGGTCAGGGCACATGCCTGGGTTGTGAGCATAATCCCTAGTAGGGGGCGTGCAGGAGGCAACCAACCAATGATTCTCTCTCATCATTGATGTTTCTATCTCTCCCTCTCTTTTCCTCCATGAAATCAATAAAGACATGTATTAAAAAAAATACTACTAATAAACCTTTTTTCATCCTTTACACCAGCGGTTCTCAACCTGTGGGTCGAGACCCCTTTGGGGGTCGAATGACCCTTTCACAGGGGTCGCCTAAGACCATCAGAAAACACATATATAATTACATATTGTTTTTGTGATTAATCACTATGCTTTAATTATGTTCAATTTGTAACAATGAAAATACATCCTGCATATCAGATATTTACATTATGATCCATAACAGTAGCAAAATTACAGTTATGAAGTAGCAATGAAAATAATTTTATGGTTGGGGGTCACCACATCATGAGGAACTGTATTAAAGGGTCGCGACAGTAGGAAGGTTGAGAACCACTGCTTTACACCCTCCTTTCCATTTTTCATAAACTAAACTTTTATTACAGAATTTTAAGTAGCAATGCCCTGTTAGTTATTATGAGAACAAGGCTACTTTTCCATGAACAACATTTATAAGCCCACAAAGGCTGAATTGTTTTAAAAACCACGTTTACTTATACAAAAAGATTTGCAGATTTACAATCTATTTTACTATAAAAGGAAATAGATTTTTACACATAATTATTTATAAACAAAATTTATTTTTAGCCCTGGCCAGTTTGACTCAGTGGATAGATCGAGGGCCTGCAGACTGAAGGGTCCCAGGTTCGATTCCGGTCAAGGGCATGTACCCTGGTTGTAGGCTCGGTCCCCAGCCCTGGTTGGAGTGCATATGGGAGGCAACTGATTGATGTGTCTCTCTCACATCAATAATCCTCTCTTTCTGTCTCTCCCCCTCCTTTCCACTCTCTCTAAAAATCAATAGAAAAATTACCTTGGGTGAGGATTAAAAACATTTTTTTTCTTTAAATTTTTAAGAAGCTCAAATTTACTGATATAAAAATATACTTCACTGAAATATACTTACTTATAAAAACATACTGCCTTTGCCATGTGAAAATCTGGTGTTTAGTTCCCTAGATTTTCTTATTAGTGCTTTTTTCTGAGCTTCATCAAACCGATGCACCTTGAGATCCTTATCACGGTCAAATGGTATTCTTTCTTGAGGCTTATTTTTATCTTCAGCAGCCTTATTCTTTAATTTTTTTTGATGAATGTCCATAAGAGATTCTGATCTTTTCGATTCCTGGAGAAAGTCAGAAGAGTAGAAATAAAAATCTTAGTTTGTATAGATTATTGACAGAATATGATAGTGAAACAAAACATTTAAGTAGTAATGGTGAACATTAAGAGGGCTATTTACAAACCCCAACAGGTTTTTCCAAAGCCAAGACAGCATCTATGAAGAAAATATGTATCAGAGGCTAATTCAATTAAACCAAAATGAAGACATCTACTAACTACATGCCATACACACATAAAGAGCAAGACAGAAAGGAAACAAATGTTTAAATAATAGAAGAGAAAAGCATTGTGTGATGTATCAAAATTGGAGTCCAAATAAGTACAAGGGTGAGAAAGAAAGAGCAATTATATCCTCACCTGGCAGCCTGGTTAAAGCTTTATGGATGTGCTGGTCCGTGAAGCCTACAGGAGTGCCTACGAAGGGAAGGGCACTGCCAGGCTGAAGCAAAAACAAGGGCGAACCAGAAAAATAACAGTGGGGAGGTGCCACAATCCAAGGCCCATTCCCTACACAAGAGAATGTTTGTTCCTTTCAGTTTTGTTCTTTCTCTTACCTCCCTCATGTTCTTCCTTCTTAGGTGGGGCAGGTGCTCACATTTTAAGGTATATAGTGAGATGAGGTCTGAGCAAAGGCAATTGGTTTCATAAGTTAGAGATTTATTACAAACCTTACAGTAGTGATTAAAGTAAAAGACAGAATGGCCTGGATGGAAGAAGCAGAGAGTGGGATGCAGGAATAGATACAAGTAATACAAACTAGAAGCTTTCAAAGTGGGGTACATGTGTCTCTGGGGGCTACACAGAGTGGATGCCATGGGTACGAAGGCATGGATAATTTTACGGTTATCCACCCATGACTCTCAAGTTCTTCATGCAGGCTTACTTAAAATTAATTTGCCCAATAATGCATCTTGTGAGAACGTCTCCCCTTTTGTTATAGCCTCTTCCCACTTAACAAAGGTGAGGCCTTTCAGAATCTTATTACAGAATACTGTGTAAGAGAGCAAGTCTTTAGGGCATCAATCAAAAAAATCTGAAATACTAGTATGAGTGAAACTTCCTCTAATCAAGGAAGGGCTTTGTGTCCTTTTTGTCTTAAACATATTTCTCTCAGGAGTGTAATGTCCTTTTGAAATGGGTGTTTTGGCTCTTATTGGAATGTTCTGAGTTTAGATATACTGAAGAGTAGGGCCATGAAAGGTAGGGCACTTTTTGCTTAACACACCATCTCTTCCAGGCCCTGCACTATCAAAGAATGTAGTTGAGAGCAAAGATTCACATGAAGACAGCCCAGTGAAAGCAAAATAACAAGGCACTGGTAAGAAATGTTAAAGGTGGCAGCATCTTATTTCATGCAGAAGACAAACTCGTGGTATCTACCTACCTACTTTAGAATTCAGAAGTGTTACAGGAATGATCATAAACACATCTATTTGAGTGGAAAAATGAAGTCAGACTTCCTGGCAGAAAGTGAGTCTGACTTGGCTGATTTGACAACCAGAACTGACTTTGTCAATTAGGTTATGTGGTAGTTATTTCCTATAAATAAATGAGCCCAATTTGAAGCTAAAAGTCTTTAGCAGAATATACAAAAGATGCTGTATTAATAAATATTTAAGTTAGCACTATTTCCATTCTCCCAATCCTTTTTATTTCATAAATAAATCTTGGTCAAGTCTTTAGAAACAAATTGATTTGTAATCCAAGTACTTTCCAGTCCTCCCTCCCTCCCTTCCATTTCAGAGAGAAAGGGAAAAAGAGAGAGATAGAAACATCAATGATGAGAGAGAATCATTGATTGGCTGTCTCCTACATGCCCCACACTGGGGATCGAGCCCGAAACCTGGGCATGTGCCCTAACCTGGAATCGAACTGTGACCTCCTGGTTCATAGGTCAATGCTCAACCACGGAGTTTTTTATTTTTAATAAAATAGGTAAAAAATTCAAATGATGCTAAAAAAAAAATGCATGGAGAAACAGCTAACAACTTAAGGTCCGAATTCAGAAAACCTGGGTTGCAATGATGGTCCTGCTGTTTTCAACACTGCTGACCTTAGGCAAGTAATTTAAGCCCTCAACGTCTCAGCTGTAAAATGGCAGTGATCCTATAAGGCAGTCCTCAGGTTACGTCGGACTCGACGTACATCGTTTCGTGGTTACATCGCCATCTCCCATTTATTTATATTAAAAAAAAAGTTCCATCATTTCAACGTATGTACATATGTGCTTTATGTTTTTTATTATTTATTTCCCACAAATAAAGGTCAGGAATTGTTATCTTTCTTTTAATTTTTTTTTTACTGTTTCACTTCATTACTGCTGTGTATGTGTTCTATGTGAGTGATGGAGGTGCTTATGTAGATGGGTTCTGACTTACGGTGAAAATCACGTTATGTCGCACAGTAGGAACGATCTCTGACAAACCCGAGGACCTACTGTATAATAAAAGGCTAATATGCAAATAGACCGAATGGCAGAAGGACCAGTCGCTATGATGTGCACTGACCACCAGGAGGCAGATGCTCAATGCAGGAGCTGTCCCCTGGTAGTCAGTGTGCCCCTGCCACTCAGCCAGAAGCCAGGCTCTCAGCTGGCAAGCACAGCTGCGGTGGTGGGAGCCTCTCCCGCCTCCACTGCAGGTGGGCAGTAAGGAGCGAGGGGTCCCGGACTGAGAGAGGGATCCCGGACTGTGACACGGCACACGCTGGGCTGAGGGGACCGCCCCTCCCGCCCCCCAGTGCACAAATGTCATGCACCAGGCCTCTAGTAATAATAATAATTTTAAAATATTTGGATGAGAGAGGAGTTAAATGATCTAAAGAATACAAAGGATTTAGTACATGTTGGGCACATAAGAATCTCCCAATAAATATTAAGTGCTAGATTTACTGAGAATTTACTATATTGTAATCCTCACAATATCTCTGTAAATTAAATGTTATTATTCCCATTATACAGATTTGGAAAGAGATAATGAGAAAATAAACTAATGGAATCAATGTGAAAAAAAATTGAAGTTGGCCTGGCTGGCGTGGCACAATGGTTGAGCATTGACGTATGAATCAGGAGGTCACAGTTCCATTCTAGGTCAGGGCATGTGCCCAGGTTGTGGGCTTGTTCCCCAGTGTGGGCTGTGCAGGAGGCAGCCGATCACTGATTCTCTCTCATCATTGATATCTCTATCTCTCTCTCCCTCTTCCTTCCTCTCTGAAGTCAATAAAAATATATTTTAAAAAATAATAAATAAAGCCCCCCCCCCAAAATGAATAGCTCTGGCTGACGTGGCTTAGTTACTTGAGTTTTGTCCCATGCATTAAAAGATAGCGGGTTCGATTCCTGGTCAGGGTACATACCCAGGCTGCAGGATTGATTCCTGGTTGGGGCATGCAGGAGGCAACCAATCGATGTTTCTCTCTCACTTTGATGGTTCTCTGACTTCAATGTTTTTCTCTCTTTCTCTCTCTCTTCCTCCATCTCTCTCCTTAATAAACAAAACAAAACAAAATAAAAAATATAAATAAAAAACACATTTGAAGCTGAAACCTGTGTTTTTCTAGTAGTAAGTAACTTTCATCTAAAGACCAGAAACTGGGAAAAAAGTCTTTCATTAAGAGATTAAATTTACATTTTACTTTTTTACATTTAATAATTATTCATCAAAATTTGCAATATGTTTACATTGTTTTGATTAACTGAAATTATAACTTACTCCAGAAGTAAAAAAGTGCAAACATTTAAAGACAGATACAGAAAATTTAAAAAAACCACAACTTTCAATTTCAATTTATGTATATATATATTTGTTGCAGTAAAATAGGACTTATCAGATATAATTATAAAGCTAAATTAGGATAAAATTCTGTGGCAGGAGAAAAATAAAATTATGAATTCAAGGAGAAAAAAGGATAAAATAAAATTTCCAACTGTTAGGAATTTCTTGTTTGTATATATATTTTAATAGATAATGATAAATATTGAATTGCAATGGTATGTAGATTCCACTTTAAACATTTAATAGAGCAATATAATATGCTATAAATTCATGGTAACTATTGAAACTTAGTTAATGAAAAATTTTAGATGTCAAGTAAAAAGTTTCTTTTAGGGGATACCAAGCAGAAACACTTGAAGACCTGATTAATTGAACAGAAATAGATTCCTGCCCTGGCCAGTGTAGCTCAGTTGGATGAGGGTACTCCCGTGCACTGAAAGGTTACTGGTTCGATTTGCAGCCAGGGCACATGTCCAGGTTGCAAACTCCATCCCCAGTGGGTGTGGAGGGGCATGCAGGAGGGAGCTGATTTTTGTTCCACTTTCACATTTATATTTCTCTCTCTCTAAAAAAATCAATCAATATATATATTTTTAAAAAGAAATAGATTCCTGAGCCCCACCATAGTAATTTAGTGAATGATAATTGTCAACTGTAGGTCACAGCAACCTGTGCTTTTAAAAACCACCCAGGTTCTGCCGTAATCGGTTTGGCTCAGTGGATAGAACATCGGCCTGCGGACTGAAAGGTCCCAGGTTTGATTCCGGTCAAGGGCATGTACCTTGGTTGCAGGCACATCCCCAGTAGGAGGTGTGCAGGAGGCGGCTGATCGATGTTTCTAACTCTCTATCTCTCTCCCTTCCTCTCTGTAAAATCAATAAAATATATCTTGAAAAAAAAAAAAAAAACCCACCCAGGTTCTTATTCAGGGTAACCATCAGATGTGCAACCCACTGTGTAGATCATTCTTTCTGGCAGAGAATGACAACACAAAAGAGAAGTGGAGTAGGGTTAATTCTAGGATGGGGAACTATAATGTTGTATAAATATAATTGTATGTAAATGCAAAGAAATTATACTATAAAAATTTGAACTTTCAGCACTATTTCTCCACATTTTCCTCTTTCCCCATTAATGAGAAAATAATAATTCATTAATTATACAACAATGATGGAGGTGTCGAGATAGGCTATTAAGAGTTGGAAGGGGAAGGCCCGAGATATTTTTTAAACAGCTGGAGAAAACAGAGAACAAAGTTTGGAGGAGATGAGAGAAAAATGAAGTTGTAGAGGCCCTACTTTACCTAGAGCAGCAGCTCTCAACCTGTGGGTTGCGACCCCTTTGGCGGTCGAACGACCATCCTGCATATCAGATATTTACATTACGATTCATAACAGTAGCAACATAATTTTATGGTTGGGTCACAACATGAGGAACTGTATTTAAAGGGCCAGAAGGTTCAGAACCACTGACCTAGAGGCCCTACTGAGAAACAGGATGAGCAAAACTGTACAAAAGGTAACAAAAAGCCAACAAAAATGGGGAAATAAAGATGGCAGGTTTTAATGAACTGATCCACTATGCAGACATTTCCCAACATACGATGTTTCAATTTATAATTTTTCGACTTTATGGTGCGAAAGTGATATGCATAATTAATTATGCGAGATATTGAACACTTTATTATAAAACAAGCTTTGTGTTAGAAGATTTTGCCCAATTATATGTGAATGTAAGTGTTCTGAGCATGTTTAAGGTATGGTAGGCTAAGCTGTGAAGTTTAATAGGTTAGGTATATTAAATGCATTTTGACTTAATGATATTTTCAACCTATGATGGGTTTATTGTGATGTAACCCCAGCGAAAGTCAAGGAGCATCTGCTTTAGTAAATTTAGTAAATTAACTATCAATGAAGACAGGGAATAGAACAAACCACTGGACTATTACAGCCAATTCAAACAATTCAAGGTCTCAAATTTGTCATATCAATTGTTTCGGGTGTACTGTCTGGGTTAGCATCATCTGTACACTGTGACACACATTGACCAAACTACTGCTAGAATCATAAAAAAACAATGAAAAACACCTAGAAGAGTCAATTCACTAAAAATCACATTGAAAGCCAGTTCACTGTAGAGACTAATTTGCTGATTTACCTGATTTAATCATTTAACAAAAATGCATGTTTTATAAAGCTTTATAAAAGCCAGGGCAGCCGAAACCGGTTTGGCTCAGTGGATAGAGCGTCGGCCTGCGGACTGAAGGGTCCCAGGTTCGATTCCCGTCAAGGGCATGTACCTGGGTTGCGGGCACATCCCCAGTAGGAGATGTGCAGGAGGCAGCTGATCGATGTTTCTCTCTCATCGATGTTTCTAACTCTCTATCTCTCTCCCTTCCTCTCTGTAAAAAATCAATAAAATATATTATAAAAAAAAAAAAAGCCAGGGCAATTTATGTTAAATGGGACAGTGTTATAGTAGCTTTTAAAAATTCATGCTAAGATCCTAGTTTGTTTTTTATTTTGTCTGTTTAATGGTAATATTTTAAATAGTGCTTGATTTATCAAAACTAAGAATTATAAGGTGGTTTAGTCTTAAGACTATTACTATTTTGAACAGCACATCTCACAAGTAACCAAAATTTCAGTATGAGATTAAAACCCTAATTTTCTGATGCATTTTAAAGTTAATTGCACACATCACTACATGTACCCTAAGTACTTCACCAACCATTTCATTAGCTAGAGTTCAATATTTGTTTACAAGCTTTTCTTTTAAGGTAAGTTTATACACAATGCAATGCACAAATCTTAAATTACATTTACTAAGTTTTAGAATTTAAACTCCTATCAAGATCTGGAACAATCCCATCACCCCAGAAAGCTCCGTATGCTCCTTTATACTCAGTCACACATTTCCACTCCAACAACCACTACTGTGATTTTTTTCCCACCATAGATTCATTTTGCTTGTTCTAGAGCTTCACTTTAATGGAATCATGGAGGATGGACTTGTGTAGGAAGTCATTTTTCACTAAGCACGGGGACTTTGAGATTTAACCACATAGTCACTTGTAATTTGTTCCTTTTTTTGTATTTCATTGTATACAGTTTGGTTTTTCTTTCTCTTTGATGGGCACCTGGGATACTCACAAATTTAGCTATTATGAATAACATGTCTATGAATATTCTGTATAAGTCTTTTCTTGAAGCTACTATGAATAAAGCATGTTCAAGTCTTCATGTGGACATGTTTTCATCTGTCTTAGATGCCTAGGATGGAGTTGCAGGATCATAAGGTAGGTGTATGTTTAGTTTTATAAAAATGCCCATTTGGAAAAAGGCACGGCTTGTGGATTTTCAGTTATTCTTCTTTTCTAACATATCTCAATATGGCTATAAATCTTGGCCAAAAGTTCCACTTTATATTGCATCCCACATATTTGTATTTTTGTATCATTTAGGTTTAGATATTTTCTAAATTCCATTAATCATGTCTTCTTTGATGCAAAGTTTAAATTTTGAATTTTTCTAATTTCTTATTGTATAAGACTTTTAAGTTATTTGAATTTTAACTTAAATTCTGTGTGGTCAGAGAAGATGGCTTGAATGATTGTGACTTTCAATTTTCTTGAGACAATGACTTTTGAGTTCATCAGTTTTCATAAATGTTCCATGGCAGTTGAGTTTTTGGTCAGTTTCCAAAAATGTTTCCTGTGTGCTTAAGCTTCACTGTCTACATATGTCCAATAAATCATTCTCATTATATTTTTAATGTTTATGGGACTTTTTGTTAACTAATATCTTAGAAACAGGTAATTTTCCTGAACACCTGGACACCTTCCAGGGGCCAATGGGTTAAGTGACATTTATTCTTTGAGCTGGAACACCATTTTTCTTTCTTCTCTTGACTAAGAGAATATAACAAAATGATGATATGCCAAATGAATACTGACCATTCAGTTTACAAATTTAGATTGAACCATATTTTAAAAACATCTTTCTCCCATATTTAAATCTTCGCATAAAATATTCCAAATCTGCTTATAATTAAAAAATATATGAATTGAGGTTCTCTAGGAGTTAGTAGGGCTCTTACTTCCTGATCACATGCTACTGAACTCTAGGAATTGAATTTCTTATATATGACTTAAGTAAAAAAATTAAGAATATTCCAAAAAGGATTTTACATAAATATATATACAACAGAGTTCAGACATGTAAAAGAAAGACAAACAAGCAAAAGAAAAAACGAGGAGCATTAAAAGATAGAAAAAAGTTAAAGGTTATATATTTTATTCTGACTTACATTGTATGAGGACACCTGCTCAGCCAATCTCTTTTCCCTTCCTGACAATATATGTTCTTCATCTTTCTTATTGAATGACTTCTTTGCTTCTTTTGTCTCCTGAGGAATGAACACAGATAACACATTACTGAACCATATAATTAAGAGAAAGTAAAAAAGAAATACTACTATTTTCACTCAGATTGAATAATCAGAGACTAAACTAAACCAGGCTTGTTGAACCTCTTTCCATTAGAAATGTTAATATACTCGGTAAGATTTCTATTAGTATTCTAAGATTTTCTTGAAAACAAGAAAAAACAAAAAACACCACAACTCTATCAACTAACCGGAAGAATCACCTATTTCCTGAACTCAGACATGAGTCTGACAAACAATGATGAAATGTAAAAGATAAAATAAGGCTTAAAAAGAAATCTTGTATTATATTTTCAAAACTTGGAAAATCACTCTTGAGGAAACAAATTAAAAAAAAATAAAATAAAAGGTGTACAGACTGGAAAAGAAAAATAAAACCATATTCACAGATGACAAACCGTCTAGGTAGAAAACCCCAAGGAATCAACAGAAAAACTGGAACTAGTAAGCAAGTACAGCAAAGCTGTAGGACACAAGGCCGATATACAAAATACACCAGCAATGAATAACTGGAATTCAAAATTAAGATAACCATTTATCATAGCACACACACAAAACTAAAGTTTGTACTTAGATACATTTCCAACAAATTTTAGTTAGAAAAAAAAACAATTAACCATTTTTCAAAGCATACTTTTATACTATTGCTATTTGCTTATGAAAACCAATGAGGCTCTTATACAATTTTTATCTTATTAATGGACTAAAACAACATTTTAATAAAGTAAGTTAAAAACACAGAAATAGTTCAATCCTTACTTTTCCATAAAACATTTCCCAGAAAACATATACTTCTAATTGTAAATATTCAGAAAAAATGATGTTACGGTAGATGGATATAAAAACCTGACCATTTAAGAGTTAATAGATATAGTCAAGACTGGGAGGTGAGAATATAACAGATCTTATTTAATTAACTTATGCATCACCCTTCCACTTCTTCCTAAGGAGCAATTTTACTTCTTTTAGGGAATGCCAGCTAAGTGAATGTGACAGGGGAGATGGCACGCTGCGGAATCAAATATAAAAAAGTAAGATGAAGTGAAGAGAACCTATTAAAAAGGAAGTTAAGAAAAGGGAAAGGACTAAGATCTGTTACAAAAATAAAAAATTGGTCATGAACTTTACACAGGATCAAAAATATCAGGAAACAAGTAGCTTTGTGATAATAGTTTGTTCCACAAATACATGTAATTCTGTGGTACTATCTGCTATAATATAGTACCACATAAAGTTTAAAGGGTATTATATTCCTTTAATAGTCCACTGTAAACATAGAACAACACATCTTCAGCCCTGAAAAGAATGACCAGATCTAAACAACTCAAGTCACTGGGCCTATAATCACTTATGTTCAGATTGTATTGCCTAGTCCAGGGGTGGGCAACCTTTTTGTGAGTGCGTGCCAAAACCAGCAAAATCTCTGACTCAAAATTCTTTTGCGTGCCAACCATAATTTTTTGAGAACATGTTACGCCTACTTGATACCTCTTAAGGTGTACGTATGTGAAGAACCTTGAAGAAATAATAAAATTCATTCAGCAAAAGTTACTGGTGTGCCATGTTTGGCACGCATGCCAAGGTTTGCCCACCTCTGGCCCAGTTTCTATTGACTCCATTTTCCTCTGAAGACTCCCTGCATATCTGGCTATAGGCTAGACACCTATTAATCTACAATGAGGAACAGAAGGACAGAAAAGTGCATAAGTAAATGTAGACACAAGTAAAAAGTCCATGTAAGCAAGGGAGTTAATTGTATTTTTGGAGATAATCAAAAAGGCTAAATTAGAAAAACACCACCATTATTTTTATAAGAGACCAGGTAAGAAAGATTACTAGTAGATGAGCCTTCCAGCACCAGTCATTCAGGTGTCGCTCATGTCTACACCACATTTTTTGCTGCCTCTTCTGCCCCCATGTGTGTTGGTGCACCTCACCTTTCTACTACAACTCTCAGATTCTTTTTAATCTTCAGGGCAATAGAGAACTTATGATGCTGCCACATATTCAGGGTAGGGTGCTAAAATGTTGAGACTTCAACATATTATCCACATTTTAAGAATAACACTATTTCACAACCAATTTATAATTACACTGTAACACAATTTATAGTTACAGAATGAAAATATGAATCCTCATAAGTCTAGGTACTAATGAACAAGATAAACAGAGTGAGAGGAATGAACTAAGTGTACAACTGTTTAAGTCAGAACTGATAAAGCTATAATTATAAGGCGCTAATTAGTAGAATATTTAAGATTTGAATGGGATAGCTTAAGGGCATTAAAACCTTTGGATGAAGTAAATTTAAGGAGGACATTGGTTCAACTCCTAATTTACAATTGAGTATTGCATAATAAGCAGAAAAGATTCAAGAGAAGAAAAATGTAAGATAATAATGTATTTTATGCATACTTTTTTGGGTATATATTTTGTAAATATTTAATGTATTGATAAAAGTGCTTCTTTTTTATTGAGGTATAATTGACATAACATTATATTAGTTTCAGGTGTATAATGTAATGATTTGGTATTTGCATATATTGCAAAACGATCGCCACAATAAATCTAGTTAACATCCGTCACTATACAGTTACAAATTTTTTTCCCCTTGTGATGAGAACTTTCAAGATCCAGTCTCCCAGCTACTTTCAAATATACAGCACAGTATTATTAACTATCGTCACCATGCTGTACCTTACATCTCCAGAACTTACTCATTTTATAACTGGAAATTGGTACCTTTGATCCCTTCACCCATTTGTCCGCCCCCTACCTCAGGCAACCACCAATCTGTTCTCTAGATCCATGAGCTTGGCTTTTCTGTTTATTTTGTTGTATTTAGCACTATTAATGCAAGTGTGTGCTTCTTGCCTATCTTGATAGTAACAAGCGTTTTATGCATCATTTATCTAGGTTAACCTGTGACTCTGTCCCCCCTCCCAAGATATTTTAAAAGATACCTTGTAATGGAAATAGTTTGATGCTGTATAAGGACCAGTTTTAGAGTTTCTAACTCTAAGAACTTGGAGTTAGAAAAGTCTAGAATGGAATTATATTCATCACTTACCAGCATTGTAATTCCAGAAACACTGACCTCATAGAGGTTAGTTTCTCATATAAAATTAAGTCAATAAACTCATGTCTCAGAGTTTTCTAGAGATTTAAATGATACAATTTATTGGGAAATGGTAAGCAAATGGTGTCACTTTCCTTCCTTCCAACTTTCCTTCAAGGGGAAATCTGTATTTTCCCTTCGGAATCATAACTTTTGAAATAGTACCGTTAAATAATTCTGCCTTGTGCCTTTTCAAAATAGAGCCAACATGGACAGAAATACATGAAAAACCACTTTCACCTTGGCTTTCCTTTCCCTGTCAGCTGGAGTATCTGTCCACACTGATCGATCTCCAGATTTGGTGTCTGTTCTTCTCTTAAAAGTTCTGGGCCCAAGACCAAAGTCTTTCAATTCCGGAGGAAGCTCAGTCATCCAGGACTCCCTTGTAATTGGTTTAGCCGAATCCTTTAAGAGAAACAAAAAGAACTGATGTTTTTATCATTATTTTACCAGTTTTTAAAATCTAATTTATTGTTCTTTTGACTTTGTTATCTTTTTCAGTAGGCAAATTTGCCAGTCTTTTCCTTTTATAGTTTTGGATTACCCAGCTCCTAAATTTTCTTTATATGTATACATACATACCTGTACCTATACAGGGTGGGGCAAAAGTAGAGGGACAGTTTTTTGTATGGAAAATAATACAATACATAATAATACAAGCCCTGACAGATGGTTAGATCATTGACCCATTAACTGAAGGTTGCGAGTTCGATTCCTGGTCAAACGCATATACCTGGGTTGCAGGTTTAATTCAGGCCCTGGTTGGGGTGCTTACAGGAGGCATCCAATTGATGTGTCTCTCTCACATTGATGTTTCTCTCTTTGTCTGTCTGTCTGTCTGTCTCTCTCTACCTCTCTCACCCTCCTTCCCTTCCACTTTCAAAAAATCAAAGGAAAAAATATCCTCAGGTGAGGATTAACAACAACAACGGAAGAATAAACTAGCCCTGGCTGGGTGGCTCAACTGGCTGGAGCACTGTCCTGTGCAATGAAAGGGGGTGGGTTCAATCCCCAGTTGGGGAGGCAACTGATTGATGTTTCTCTCACATCGATGTTTTTCTCTCTCCCTAAATATCAATAAACATATTCTCGAGTGAGGATTAACAAAAAAAAGAATGAACCATGTTTTGCATATTCACCACTGTAAATCTACTTTTGCCCTACCCTGTATATGTATTTTTTAATGTCTATTTTTAAAATTTATATTTTTAATTTAGTTAGCCTGTTTTTCAGAGTAGAGTATATTTAAAACTTACATCATCTCCTTTAATCAGTTTTTCTTTCATTCTCTGGGCTCTTTTATCAAACTCTGCTGTTACACTATAGTTAAGTGGTCCTTTTGCAGGCATTGGTCCAACAATGTCCTCATCTTCACTGCTATCTGTTTCCTTTTGAAATAAGACATTATCTTTAAACCAAGAGATTATAGAATATGATCCCAAATTACTTAAAATTTAATTGATATAATTACTTAGAGACAATAAAACAAAAAGCAAACAATACATTGTCCAACACACTAAACTGAAAATGAGAAGCCAGAATCATAAACCCAAACCCAATCTAGGTTTTAAGTCATTTTGGTATTTTGGATGGGTTAATTTTTAAAAAATAAAAAAGGTGAGTTATTTATTCAGAAATACAATAGAAAATATGTACCCTACTGGTTTATATTTTGTGCTGTAGAGTTAGGCAGACCAAGTTTCAAGGCCTCAATTTGCCTATGACCTCAGGCCTGTAATTTGACATTTCTAGGCCTGTTTTGCCATTCAGATGGGGATTAAAACAGCTTCAACTAATAACTACTCTGTTGCTAAGAGAACACTAGTTTTGTTCATCCTCTTTGAAACCATGCTCTTCTCAGGAAACTGGGATCTTCTCTAATTCCTGAGAGAAAATGTTGATAATTCTAAGTCAAACACGTTGGTTTTATTTCTCTTGACCACCTGACCAAAGAAATGTGAGAAGTGGTCTATAGGAAACCTTGGAAGGCTTACCTCCCCAGTACTGAAGGGTCTCAGGTTCAATTCCTGATCAAGGACACATACCTCAGTTGCAGGCTCGATCCCCAGTGTAAGAGGCAACCAATCGATGTGTCTCTCTTACATTGATATTTCTCTCTCTTTCTCTCTCTCTCTACCTGTCTCCCCCTCCCTCCCTTACATTCTCTCTAAATATCAGTGGGAAAAATATCCTTGGATGAGGATTAACAACAAAATAAAATAAAAAAGGGATACAGGACAGGGGCCATTCCCCTTCTATGTCTGGACATTGCCATCTGCATGTGAATCTTAGTACTCTGGCAGTCTTGATATATAAGGGGTCAGACTAAGGCAGTGATGGCGAACCTTTTGAGCTCGGCGTGTCAGCATTTTGAAAAACCCTAACTTAACTCTGGTGCCGTGTCACATATAGAAATTTTTTTATATTTGCAATCATAGTAAAACAAAGATTTATATTTTTGATATTTATTTTATATATTTAAATGCCATTTAACAAAGAAAAATCAACCAAAAAAATGAGTTGGTGTGTCACCTCTGACATGCGTGTCATAGGTTCGCCATCTCTGGCCTAAGGGGAGTTAACTGTAGATGATAGAGAAGATGGGAAAAAAATCAATGATCTCATTAAGCTGTTGAACTAACAAACCCTGAAATGACCCTACCCCTAGACCTCTTATTATGTATGAAACACATTTTCCTTATTTTGAGAACATAGATTATATACCAACCTGGAAATTATAAAAACCCATTTGCCAACTACATAAATTAAGACAATTCCATTTTGAGTTGAATTTTCTGTTATTTGCAGCTAAAAGCATTCTAGCTGACATACTATCCCCTAGGATTGTTTTTCGGATTAACTTAAATTTATGCTGTTATGCAAATATAAGTAAATTATGCACATATGAGTTTATATTGTACTTTGCAGTGTCTGGTTTGTGGCAAGCGCTCAACAAATGTTAACCATTATTATTATTATTATGTATGCCTTAATTTGGGGGTATATGTTACGAATGAGAGACTAAGAGAAGCCTCTCTTTGAGGAAATATGAAACAGAAAAAGGAGGGAAATCCAATGCAAAGAATCAGAACCAAGAGTACCTTGAACAGGTGTGCTATGGTGTCATCTCTAAAACTACTGTGGCCCTCTGCTGTGTAACTGTGTTTCACTGCTCGGTATGAATTCTCTCAATGTTACTAGCATCTGTGGATTTCCCTTTCTTTAAGCTCAGCAGTGTATTAATTTTGTTGCAATCTTATTTCCCCCCAGCACTCCTTTGTGATGTGGCTGGGAAAGCCTAGCCTGAACCTGTGAGGGCTCAGCCTTCCATTTGGCTAGAATCCTACCTCTGATAATTTATTCCTGTATTTAAGCACCTTGTTAGAAAGGATTCCTATACTCAGTATAAATTCTTCAAAGTTACTCTCATGGCATGGGTAGTAGAGGTGGTAATAATACTAATACTAATAGTAATACTAATAGTAATACTAATTATTATTATTATAAATTAAATACCCACTGTTCTAATTTATCCTTACAACAACTCTGTAAGATAACGACCTGTATACTACCAATAAGAAAACTAAGCTCAGCCAGGATTCAAAGCTCTTGCCTACCTCTCTCCCTTAACTCTTTCCTCATTCTCTCCACTCTAACCATACTAATTGTTTTTAAATAATTCTTTATTGTTGAGAGTATTACATATGTCCCCTTTTTCTCCCCATTGACCCCCTCCAGGCCCCCTCTCGGTCTCTTCCCCACACTAAATTTTTTAAAACCCTTTCTCCCTCTCCGTACTTTTTTTGCTTTCAAATAAGCTATCTGTACTCGCTGGACCAATCTTTCCTGTCCTTTTTGCTAAGCTAGTTCCTACTCATCCATCTTCAGTTTAGACATTTTCTCAGAAAAAAAGACTTCCTCATTTCTTCAGATTAGATTTCCCTGTCATGGTTCCACTATATTTTGTCTCACCTTTTGAATCACTCATATTAGGCAGTATTTGTTTACTGTATATATTCCCCACTACACTAAGCAATGAGAGCAGGGACTGTGTCTGACTTATTCATCCGGCAAATACTTTGAATGTCTACTAGAGATAAGACAAAAATCTCTGTCCTCAATGGACTCATATTCTCACAAGGAGAAGTTAATAATAAACAAAAAGAAGCAGTAAAGTAAATGGTATCTTAGGTAGTGATAAATAGTATGGAGAAAATTAAAGGAGGGAAGGGGATAGAAGTAAAGGGAAAAGGAGTTAGCAATTTTAAATTAGGTCAGAAATAACCTCTTTTAGGTGACAGTCCAGCAAAAAACTGAGGCAAGACAAAGATATCTAGGGAAGACCATTTTGGAGAGACTTAGCAGGTATAAAGGCTCAGGGGTAGACGCCTACCTGTTTATTTGAAAAGGTATGGCAAGGAGCCCAGTGTGGTCAGATCAAAATAGAGAGAAAGTCAAGGAGCTAATGGAGGCCAGATTGTAAAGGGCCCTGTAAGGACTTTGGCTTTATGCAGAGGAAGAAAAATTTATGGTCCTGAGTGTGTGACATGATCTGACTTTGTTTCACCGAGGCAACTCTAGCTGCTGCATTGAGAAGAGGTAATTGAGGAATAAGGGCTAAAGCATGAAAACCAATAAAAGAGGTGAAATATGATGTTGATTTGGACCAGGGTGGTAACAGAAGTGGCTGGATTCTGAATGACTTTGTAGGTAGGAACAAAATAATTTGTTGACAGATTAATTTCTGTGACTATATGCTTGACACACTGTAAGAGCTCTATAACGTTGAAAGAATGAATGATTCTGAAGTTCATGATCTTAACCACTGCATAGTATTTCCTTTAATAACAACCTCAGTGTAACTGCTGAATACTCAGTAAAGATAAACATACAGGAAGCCACACAGAATAGCAGAATGAACAGGTGATTTAAAGGCATAAGAACTGGGGCTTTAATAAGGAAAAATGTGCAATCTTGTGTATATTAGCCAATTTTTCTGGTTTCTAGCATCTGTAAGATGTGATCATATCTATTTCATAACATCTATTTCATAACAACATAGAGAAGATAAAAATAATATCCATATGAGTAACATGCATTAAAAATTATAAAGCTCTGTACAAATCTCAGCTTGTGTTGAAGATCTGGCTTCCAACAAGAAAACAGTCTTCACTCTTGACTCCAAAATCACTTGATCTATCTTTTCATAAAATTACTTATCCGCCAGTGCCTTTGCTATATACAGGTACCAGAGCTAGGTAGGAGAGAGTTAATTCCAAGGTAAAGATCATTATTTAAAAATTCCTCAGCTTTCTCTGTTCTGGGTCAGATCACATTGATTCCTTACATTTTTCATCATGTTCTATTTTCTAGCACTTTGAAGCTTCCTTTCAAGGATTATCATGAAAATGTAATACCCTTCCAACATTACATATTATTTTTCTAATAGAATCTCAGGTCTTATAATATAATTGATTTATCTACCTATGCTATAATCCTCAATTAATCTGAATATGACTGTCTTACATCACATTTGAGTCAAATAACTGTAGTCATTACTATTATTTAAAAATTATGTAAAGTCTTGAGTTTGTTACAGCTTATCCTTTAAACAAAAATTTTCCAAACCTTAGAGTTGAAATATGATGGTACTTGGTGTCCTGGATCATCTCTGCCTTTGTCACTTTTCTGTGCAGATTTAATAAAACCAGGTGGTAATGCAGGACCTATTATAGGCCTGAAAAATAAAATGTACCTTTATCATTTTCCCCTGACTTTAAAAAGCAGTTGTCAGAATAAAATTCACAAAAATGATAAAAAGCCAGAAAATGAAAAATGTTGATGAGAATTTTATTTAACACTAGAGGCCTGGCGCACGACATTCGTGCACTGGGGGGTGTGGGGGGGGTACCTCAGCCCGACCTGCACCTCTCAAATCTGGGAGCCCTCAGGGGAGCCCTCTCCAATCCGGGAGTTTCTGTCTGTCTTTGCAATCATATGAGTGAATTGTCTGAGACCCCAACTCAGTTTGGTTTGTTGCTCACAGAATAATAGAGGCATTTTTTTTTCTTTGCTTCATTGGTGGAGATTTCCTGGAAGTTTTAGGATATCTTCCCTTTAATTTTTCCTAGACACTCTGATTTTACTTATGTCTCTCACCTTTGCTTTCCCTCCATCCCCCCCACAACAGTAACTTGCTCCAGGCTCACTTTGCTCTAGTGTCTAGGACAGTGATGGCGAATCTTTTGAGCTCGGCGTTGTCAGCATTTTGAAAAACCCTAACTTAACTCTGGTACCGTGTCACATATAGAAATTTTTTGATATTTGCAACCATAGTAAAACAAAGATTTATATTTTTGATATTTATTTTATATATTTAAATGCCATTTAACAAAGAAAAATCAACCAAAAAAATGAGTTCGCGTGTCACCTCTGACACGTGTGTCATAGGTTCGCAATCACTGGTCTAGGAGATCCGTCTGCCACCAGAACTACGATTCCCAGTATTCCTGGTGCTCCCCGCGCTCTGGGCTTCTGCTTCCAGTCCTGGGGCTGCCACCAAAACAACTATTCCCAGAAATGCTGGTGCTCCCCGCGATCTTGGTTTTCCCTTTCTGCTCTGTCTCTGTCCCATGGCCTCCCACTCTGCCAAGCTCTCACTCTCTGCTCAGTCTGGCGGCTTGGGGAGCCAATTTCCCCAAGCCGCTCCACTCTCCACCGGCTGTCCCACTCTGCTCTCCGCCTGGCGCGCCTGTGTATGCAAATTAACCCGCCATCTGTGTCGGGTTAATTTGCATGCTCACTCCTGATTGGCTGGTGAGCGTAGCAAAGGGATGGTAAATTTACATGTTTCTCTTTTATTATATAGGATATTTTTATTTATAATTTAGTATTTTCCCACTTAATATAAAAAATCTAATTTTTGGATTTTTATTTCTATTTGTTAGTCAATGGTTAGATACTAAATCTGTAATTCTCAATCTTTATGGCAGTGGCATATACCCACTTCCTAAAAGAACTATCTATACAGTGGGGCCTTGACTTATGAGTTTAATTCATTCCATGACGGAGCTCATAACTCAAATTACTCGTATGTCAAATCAATTTTCACCATTACAATGAATTGAATGCTGGGCTGATGTTGTGGCGTTCACTGTGACGTTCGCTGCACCAACTAGCGGTCGGGTATCTGAAGCTGGCTTGTAACCCGAATTTTAGCTCACAACTCAAAGCAAAAAATCGGCCGAGAGACAGCTTGTATCTCGAAAAACTCGTTAGTCAGGACACTCATAAGTCAAGGCCCCACTGTATAGGTATACTAGAAGCCCGTTGCAGGAAGATTCCTGCAAGAATAGGGCTTCGCTCCTGTCTCTGCCGTTCCTACCCCGCCCTTCTCTGCCGCTGCTACCCAGCCCATCTCTGCCACTGCTACCCCACCCGTCTCTGCCGCTTCTCTCCCGCCCGTCTCCGCTACCTCGGCTCTGTTGCTTGGCTTCCTTCTACGATGTCTTCAGTCTTCGCTCCCAGCTGGTATATGCAAATTAGCCGCCATCTTTGTTGGCGGTTAATTTGCATATCACACTGATTAGCCAGTGGGAGGCGTAGTGAAGGTACAGTCAATTACCATGTTTGTCTATTATTAGATAGGATAACAGCCTAAGCCAGTGGTCGGCAAACTGAGGCTCGGCAAACCGCGGCTCGTGAGCCACATGTGGCTCTTTGGCCCCTTCAGTGTAGCTCTTCCACAAAATACCAACTTCTGCGCATGGGCCACGAAGTTTCAATCGCACTGTACATGCGCGCCTGCACGTGGTATTTTGCACTTCTGCGCATGTGGCTCACAAGCTGCGGTTTGCTGATCACGGGCCTAAGCGACTGGCTGACCAGCCAACTGGCTGATCAGCCGGTAGCTATGACGCGCACTGACCACCAAGGGTCAGCTGCTCAACGCAGGAACTGCCAAGCTGAGGTCACTTGGCGGTTGTCGGTTCTTGGGTGACGCAGCTGGAACCAGAGAGGAGGGAGTCCGATTCCGATTCTGGGGTGCGTCACCTGAGAACTGCCCTCTCACAATCCGGGACCCCTCGGGGGATATGGGAGAGCCGGTTTTGGCCTGATCCCCACAGGCCAGGACCAGGGACCCCACTGGTGCACCGGGCCTCTAGTTTTAAATAAAAATGGTAATTAAAAAGAGTTGTTATTATGGACTAAAGCTTATGAGGATGTTTTTCTATTTTGTGCCTTGGCTTTCAGTTTTAATATTCACTGTCCACTGAAAAATACATTAGGGGCATTATAATTACAGTCCAAACTTCTGAAGTATGAACTGAGTTTGAAGGACATGTATAGCACATGCACACAACAGTTACACGTATCAAAAATCTAAGCCTTGTCCTCACTAATCTAAAAATGATGTGAAGTGTACAGAAAGGAGTGCATTTGAGAAAAAGGAAAAGGTGCTGTGCTGACCACACTTCAACCAGTGTAACTGTTTCCATAAAATAACTTTGCCAGATATGAGTCACTCCATTTTCTAGGTGAGCAAAATAATGCTCAAAGGCAACACACACTAATAGGTGGCAGAGCTGAAGTTTGAACCCTGGACCACTTAATGAAAAGTTCATGTTCTTTTCAACTGAGGGAACAACCATCAGTCCAGAAGGGAGAACTGCCTAACTTCTGGGTCTTAAAAAGAGGATACTTTGTATAGAGGAAAAATAAAAGACATTTTCTACTCTTGTTCATACTTTCAAGTTTCTTTATCCTTTCTTTCATACCAATGTCTTTTTCCAGAGATGTCACTGAGCCATTATTACCAAGCAAGATGGTGAAGTCCTAAGCTGAATTTTCCAGGTTGCACTGTGCTCAATGAGAGCCTCCCAGACAAGCTCCCTGGCAGAGGAAAAACAGTACTGACAATCAGGTCTGGGTTTTGATCCTAGCCATTCATAACCTCTTGTCTTGGTTCATAAAACCTCTTTGAGCCAAAACAATTTTGTATATAAAAAACAGGGAAGTTTGGCACTGTTAGAAAGACCAAATTAGTTATCAAAAGATATAAGGAAGTACTCCATGGATTTTTTTTTGAGTACAATTATTAGCAATTAAGGCTTAATTCTCTGGCCTCAGGGAATTTGTAAAGATAAAATTACTGGTATATGAAATCTTAAAATATAGTATAAGAATAGAATCATGACATGTTATGGCTGTATAAAAGGTTTCTGCCTACATTATATGCTACCACCTATTTATTTTATTTTATTTTTATTTTTATTTTTCTGTGTCAGGCCGTCAACCATCCAGGCACTCATGGCCAGGACGCTGGGCGTAGGCGAGCCTCTCTGCTCTCTGCCACCTAATGACGCAGGCACGACACGGCAGCCATACCTGCAACGCCTCTAGGGGCAGTCACCTATTTATTTTACACATGTATTTTATTACTGCCAAAATATAATTCTCAAAAAAGATACTGCTATACATCTAATAATTTATTTTCCTAAAAGAAATATTGTATTCTCAGCAAATTTTCTGTAACAGGTCAGATAAGATATTTTAGGCTTTGAGGGCCACATTTGGGTCTCGGCTGTATATTTGTGTTTGTTTTTTAATGGCTCTTTAAAGATCATTCTTAGTTTGGGGGCCATACAAAAACAGACAGTAGATTGTCTATCCCTGTATTTCTGAAAACAAGGAGCTGACAAATGTGATAATAAACTCTGAATATAATATGTACAACAGGCTTTTTTTTTTTAACTTGCTCTTATATTGGTTTATAGTATTATGAATTATAAACAATTTGGTGTGCGATTTCATATTTAGTATTTCAAAATTTTGCAATTCCAAGAAGACAGGAATCAATATTTACTATGCGCTTACTCTGTGCCAGGCACCATATAAGACACACACACGTGTGTGTATGTATATATACATGTGAAATGAAAAAGTCTGGGTTAGAAGTCAAATACCAGGATTCTAGGCCCCAGGTCTACCACTTACTGTGTGTGCAACCTTATCTGTTTACAAAAAGGGGAAAGAAGGATAATGTTCCACTCAGCCTACCACAAAACACTTGTGTATCAAATAAGAGATGAGGAGGTTCTATAAACTATGAAAGTGTCATAAACATGTAAATAATTATAGAAAATTTTATTATAATTATTTAAAAGATTACTTAAAAGTTTGTTTAAATAATTATTTGTATTATATGAATTTCAAATGTTATAAAAACATGTAAGTAAAAAACAATCACAGAAAACTCTTTAATGAACTACCATGCACCAGTTAAAATATTTAGAAAAGACTGGCCTGAAATATTATGCATTATCACCTTGGAGGAGAATCATCCTGCTTTTTAAATCCAGGAGGAAGGGCTGGTCCAAAAAATCCTTCATCATCATCATCATCTTGATTTCTCCTCTGTTTTCTGGAAACATAGTAGTGCAACTTTATGCATATGCCAAAACATTTTTTTTCATAAGAATTTTAGTTTTTAACTTCAAATAGTGTATAAATACTGAAAAAATTAATCTTGCCAAATTAAAAAAACCCACACACACAAATACCACAGTAAGTCGTCAACTAATCTTTTCCTGGAATTTATTTTTGGCCTAAAAGGGTTAAGAAATTGGTTACTTTTTTACAGCAGTAATATATCAATTTCCTATATTTTCTGTGGTGTTAAAGATTCCACTCACGAAGTTTCAAATAGTAGTCTGTTTGCTAGATGTTTCTGAACAATAAGTTTATGACTTTAGCTTTTAATCTCATTTAAGGAAAAGTTTTATGCTGCTATTTCTGTCTCATACATTGCATAGGTAATTTTAAAAGAATAAATCCTATGGTTTATTTAGAATATTTAGTCACTTTAATAACACCTTAAAGACAAATTCTATAAGAATTTTATTGAAATTCTAGATATCTCCACATCTATATAGTAAAATAAAAAAAATCTCCACATCTATATAGAAAAATAAAAAAATGGGACTACTATTTTAGTACTACTAAAATAAATTTCTTTGTAAAAGGTATAGTTCATGAGGAAATGCCACATGAAATGATCTCTTCCTGTGTTGTACAAATGCAGATGTGCTATCCCCCTTACTAGCTATCTGTTCCAGCCAATGTATACTAGGTTTGAAGCTTGGATTAAGAAAGTGACTGACCTTGCAGGTGGACCAGTGTCATCTTCTTCAGATTCTTGGTTTCCTTCTCCGTACAAAGAATTACTGTCCTCATCGCTGTCTGATGACTCTGAACTACTGCTCTTATAATTAGGGGGTAGAGCTGGTCCTGCAACTAAAGATTTCTCGTGTATGTCATAACTAGCCACAACTGTCCCAATGAAGCCCCAGCTGACATTCTATAAGTTCTTTTCTGAATTCATAGCATTGGCTGGCTATCTTTTATTATGGACTTTAATCTTATTTGCTCCTGTTTTTTTGTACAAGAAGAAATAAAAGGCATCCAAATTAGAGAGGAAGAAGTAAAACTGTCATTATTTGCAGGTGACATGATATTGTATATACAGAACCCTAAAGATTCCACCAAAAACCTATTAGAATTGAATTCAGTAAAGTAGAATACAAAATATTTAAAAAATCAGTTGTATTTTCGTACACCAATAATAAACTATCAGAAAACAATCCCATTTTCAATTGCTTCAAAAAGAATAAAATACCTGTGAATAAATTAACCAAGGATGTAGAAGACCTGTACTCGAAAAATTATAAGATACTGAAGGAAGAAATGGGAGAAGATACAGATAAGTGGAAGCATACACCGTGTTCATGGATAGGTATCCTTACTTCTCAAAGCAATCTATAAATTCAATGAATTCCTATCAAGATATCAACGGTGTATTTCAGAGAACTAGAAAAAATACTCCAAAACCTTATATGGAAACACAAAAGACCCCAAATAGCCTTAGCAATCCCGAGAAAGAACAAAGATGGAGGAATCACACTCCCTGATATCAACTATACTACAAAGCCATAGTAATCAAAACAGCATGGTAGTGGCATAAAAACAGACATATAGATAAATGGAACAAAATAGAGCCCAGAAATAAACCCACGCCTTTATAATCAATTAATATTTGACAAAAGAGGCAAAAACATACAATGGGGTAAAGATAGTCTATTCAATAAATGGTGTTGGAAATACTGGACAGATACGTGCAAAAAAATGAAACTAGACCATTTTTTGACACCATACCCAAGAATACATTCGAAATGGCCTACTGACTTAAAACCATAAAAATCCTAGAAGAAAGGATAGGCAGTAAAATCTCGGACATTCCTTATAGCAATATTTCTTCTGATATATCTCCTCAGGCAAAAAACAAAAGGAAAAATAAACAAATGGGACTACATCAAACTAAAAAGTTTTGCACAGCAAAGGAAACCATCAACAACATGAAATGACAACCCACTGAAGGGGAGAATATATTCATTGATATATCTGATTAGTACTTAATATCCAAAATTTATAAGGAACTTACTTAACACCAAAAATCCCCCAAACAATCTAATTAAGAAATGGGCAAAGGCCCTGACCAGTTTGGCTCAGTAGCTAGAGCGTCGGCCTGTGGACTGAAGAGTCCCAGGTTCGATTCCGGTCAAGGGCATGTACCTTGGTTGCAGGCATATCCCCAGTAGGGGGTGTGCAGGAGGCAGCTGATGGATGTTTCTCTCTCATGGATGTTTCTAACTCTCTACCCTTCTCCCTTCCTCTGTAAAAAAAAATCAATAAATTAAAAAAAAAAAGAAAAAGAAATGGGCAAAGGACCAGAATAGACACTTCTCCAAAGAGAACATACAGATGGCCAAAAGGCATATGAAAAGATGCTCAGTGTCACTAATCCTCAGAGAAATGCAAATTAAAACCACAATGGGATATCACCTCACACTTGTCAAAATGGCTATCGTCAATACATCAACAAACAACAAATGTTAGCAATGATGGGAAGAAAAGGGAACTGTTGTGCACTGTTGATAGGAATGCAGACTGGTGCAGTCACTGTGGAAAGCAGTATGGAGTTACCTCAAAAAATTAAAAATGGAATTGCCATATGGTCCAGTGATTCCACTTCCGGAAATTTATCCAAAGAAACCCAAAACACTAATTTGAAATAATACTATGTATGCACCCCTATGTTCATTGCAGCATTATTTACAGTAGCCAAGATTTGGAAGCAGTGCAAGTGTCCATCAGAAGATGAGTGCATAAAAAAACCATGGTATAAAAAAACCGTGGAATACTACATGGCCAACAAAAAGAAAATCTTACCCTTTGCAACAGCATGGATAGACCTGGAGAACATTGTGCTAAATGAAATAAGACAGAGAAAGACAGGTACCATATGATTTCACTCAATGTAGAATCTAATAAACAAAATGAACCAACAGGAAAATAGTGACAGAGTCATAGAGAGCAGGCTGACATCTATGGGGGGTTGGGTGGGGTTGCAGGGCTGGGTGAAGGGATTGACCAAAAAAGAAAAAAAAAAGAGAGAGAAAAATCATGGGCACAGACAACAGTGTAGTGATTGCTGGGGGGAAGTGGAGGAGGGTATAGGGAGGATAAATGATGATGGGAAGAGACTTGACTTGGGGTGTTGAACGCACAATGTAGTGTACAGATGATGGGTGGTAGAACTGTGCACCTGAAATCTGTGATATTTAGTTAACCAGTATCACCCCAATAAATTCAATAAAATTTAAATTAAATTGAAAACCAGAATATATGAAAATTAAGAACTTATGTTCATCATAATATACTAATGAGAGATCAAAAACTCATAGAATTAGAGAAAATATTTGCAGCACACATCTCTGAAAAAAGATTCATGCTGAAAAATGACTTTTGTCCAGACTATATAAAGAACTCTACAAACCAGTAAGAAAAGGGACAACTCAAAGAAAAAGTGAGCAAAAGACTTGACACATATCCAAATGACAAAACAAAAAACAAACAAAACAAAAACAAAAAACCAAACCCATGAAAAGGTGATCAACTTTACTGTCACCAGAAAAATACAAATTAAAGCTCTATGAGATATTGCTACAAATCATCAGATTTAAAAAACAGATAAAGCCGAGACCGGTTTGGCTCAGTGGATAGAGCATCGGCCTGCGGACTGAGGGGTCCCAGGTTCGATTCCGGTCAAGGGCATGTACCTGGGTTGCGGGCACATCCCCGGTGGGAGATGTGCAGGAGGCGGCTGATCTATGTTTCTCTCTCATCGATGTTTCTAGCTCTCTATCTCTCTCCCTTCCTCTCTGTAAAAAATCAATAAAAAATATAAAAAACAACAACAAAAACAAAAACAAAAACAGATAAAAGTATTAGTGAGAATATGGAATGAGGATTCTCATATATGCTGGTGGAAGTGTAAATTGGTACTACTTTGGAAACTGTAGAATCTACTAAAGATGGATGAATATATGCATATCCAGTGACCCAACAATTATGAGATGAAAAAGGTTGAATGTCGCTACTCTAGGTGGAAACATGGCCTCCGGGTAGTCCAAGAACAAAATTAGATTGAGAAATGGGAGAGTTAATCTTTTGGCTTTATTCTTTTCCAACGTTAGTGTCAGAACCAGCCTATGAATTAGAGCAAACATTAAAGGAGATAGATATGCATGGAGGAGTCTGAAAAGCATTTACTTGGCAAATACAAAGTGCTACTATGTTAAGGCCAGAAGACTCTAGTGCAATGGCGGAGACAGATAAGCCAGCCAGTTATTCGAAAACAATGTGTTAAATACATGATGTATTTAAGTAGGAGAAAAAAACCATGAGTAAAGAAGGCATGACAATGCTTGGGAGAGTTTGGGAAAGGCTTCACTGAGGTGACATTTAAGTTGGGCTTTCAAGGATGAGGTAGGAGCTTGTCAGGTATGCCAAATGCAGAGTGAAGCCAGGAGGCGATTAGAGAATTGAGGAACTGCCAGAAACTCTAACTGGTTTGAGCACTGGGCCGTGTGTGAGATGCAATGACAGAAGTAGAAGCTAGGATGGATGGTGAGGCTAGAGAGCACAGTATCTTCTCCAAGAGCTGGAGACACTGTATATCAGAAGGCAGTAAGACACAGAGTCCTGGTTTCATTCTAAATAGGGCTCCACCACTTACTAGCTGTGTGATCTAGGTAACAGCCTGAGCCTCAGTGTCCCCAACTGTCACATGGGAATGGGTACAAAAAGGGGGGCTCTGTAATAACACTGACAAGGTCACTGTGGGCCACGTGGCAGGTCTGATCACAAATTCCTACTGGGCAGCTCATAGAAGGTAGTCACACCCCAGGCCTATAGCTTCCTTAGCAAAGTCAATCTTCACCCTAAGTGAGCCCTGTCCATTGTTCTTATGCATGTAGGATAACATACCTTTGAAATGATAGCATAATTTTCTTTTCTAGACCCCTCAAAGGCACCATTACAGGCACCAGAGCACAGGACCACCAGAGAACACCGGAGCCCTCATTGTTATCTTGTTGCATACCATGTACTATAAATTTTAGGTGACTATCTTGTACACACCAATGTAAAAGTGTTTCTTCACTTTGCTTTTTATTTAATCCTAGAGACTTCCCCGCTTTGCTTCCCACTTCCCTTAATCTACCACCAGTGGATTTCATGTACCTTCCTTACTTATTCCCCTTTGATACTAAATACATAAAAAGAACTGCAAAACTGCCATTCTTTAGAGCATTTTCTCAACCCGTTCAGATCTTTATTCGGGGCATGTCCACAAAGATTTGGCTTAAATAGCCCCGCCGCTGTGGCTCAGTGCTTGAGCCTCGACCCCATGAACTGAGATCACGGGTCAGATCCCTGGGCTCGGTCTCCAGTGGGGGACGTGCAGGAGGCAGCCGATCAATGACCTCTCATCATTGATGTTTCTAATCTCTGCATCCCGCTCCCTTCCTCTCTCTGAAATCAATGAAAATATCGATTTCCACAAAACTTTTCTATAAGTTTGGACACGTTCTTTCCTCGACAGCAAGAATAATCTCTAATTTACACAGTTGCTACGAGGATTAACGGACTGAATGTGCATTGATAGTTTCGCAAAGCGTCCAGCCATTTAACGCTCAGTGGGAACACATCACTATTATAATAACTACCAGACCGAAACTCGTTTCCGAGGCCCCCACGCCTCCTTACCCCATGGTACGGCTTGGGAAGCAAAGTTAGCTCGGGTCGCCCACACCCCCCTCCCCACTTGCCCGCTCTCCAGGCCTGACTGGCACTCAGACCGCTGGGCGGGCAGGGAAGGGCCGGGGGGCCTGGCCGGCGGGGCGCGCCGCAGCTTACCGGGGCTGGGGTCCCGCTCCTCGTCCCCCGCTGCCCCGAGGGCCTTGAAGCCGGGCGGCAGTGCCGGCCCGATCAGATCCCTCGCCATGCGCGGTGGCCGGTACTGATCCCGCTGGCAAGTCTATATACACGGAGTCAAGCCTTCCTCCTAACCAGCCTGCGATCCTTCGCAGATGCAGGAAGTTTTCCCGGCGCGACAGGTGACGTTTCAGCTTGTG